AGTTTGAATCAAATTACAATACTTACAAGTCATGTACTTGGTGACCCATATAAACATTGCAAGATTTGTAAAATTATCAAAAGGTTCAAATGAGCATTCGTAATTCCAATTAAAATCAGATTTTGTTCTATCAAATATCTTCGGTAAGTCATCTATGTTAGTTGAGATCAGTTCACTTTCATAATCTGAACAACAATCAATATCAGTATTAAATCCATTTTCACTACACATAGATATATCCTCTGAATTATCATAAATTAAATCGTCAAATTCTTGACCAAGGTTCAAATCTGTATCCTGTTCAGACTGTTGATCATCACTAAAAATTTGGTTACACTGGTTAGACCATAAGTTATTATTATTGTTATTACATTGTTGGTTATTATAGTTGCCATGCTGCATGTTCATATAATTCAAGCCAGTATTGCTATGATCCAAGCTATTATAAAATTTAAAATCATCTAAAGAAGTTTTCTTGGTGCACAGATGTACATCGTAGAACTGTTGCGGTATACTTTTCTTAAACCTATTTCTAAGCACGAACATGGCACCATATGTATAAAGAAGAAACTGAGATGAAAAACCAATTATGGAAACAAGGAAATCTGAGGTTTTGAAAAAAAAACTAGCACCAAGGTAAGTTCGTGCATTTTCTCGTGACATAAGGAGAATTTGAATATATATAGTAAGATAGGCACAAACTAAAGATTATAGTTATTTCTACGTTACTGCCTTTTACGTATTATGTTTTTCTCATACGTCGCTCCAATATCACACTTCGTAAAATTGCGTGCAAAAGTATTTGAATTTTAAATTTTTTGTTGAATTTTTTGTCGAATTTTTTGTTGAACATACAAAGAACGAAAAAAATCCTGATTTTAATACACACATTCCAATTTATATATGAAAAATCACATGACATCATTAGACTATCAAATAATTACTCTGATTATACATACGTATGCCTATGTTGTGTCTCAGATCAGGGCTTAAACATTGATTGTTTTTCCGATCATTTACTGTATCGTTTTTGATCTATCAACATATCAACAATAGCAGTAAATAGCTAATAGAATTTTCTTATTATGCCATTGTTCTTTGATCGCAATAATTATGAATCAAGAATGACTCTTGAGCTCTTATCAGATCCACGCTTGCGTCAGATACATCTGATGCATATAATATATATAAGCAGATATAAGAAAATTTATTTGTAAATGAATTAGAGCAATATAGATATAGCGATAGAATTATATAAGAGAAATGTAGTTCAATTAATAGAAAAAAAGCTTTATTTATACATAATCCGAATTTTTAAGAAAATTTGAAATACTAATATGCCTTATAGGCTTTTCTAACAATTATCTATTAAACTTTATACTCTTTGTTTTAACAATTAAACTCTCTTTTTTGACAATTATATTCTTTGTTTACATCGTCAATATTAAAATTCATATAGACACACCAATAGATCTTTTACCCTCTGAGATTTTTTTTTTTACTATTAATAGTAGCTATATACTTTTTTTGTTTTAATATTTTAGTGATTCAAATTAACAACAATAAAGTTATAAACTGTATAATGAAAATATAATTAGAATCCTATTTTGCTAGTTTTATCAGTAAAATTAAACTTTTTGTTTTAACATTTTTAATGATTTGATTAACTATAGAGTTATCAGTATACCAATAGGACTTTTATTTGTTTAATGCAATTATTTGTAAATTGTATAATATAAATTTTATTTTTAAATTACATAATAATATATATTTTGATATTTTAATGATACGAATTAATTATAGAGTTATCAGTATACTAATAGGTTTTTATTTGTTTAATACAATTATTTGTAAATTGTATAATATAAATTTTACTTTGCTAAAATTTATCAATTTCGAGTTATGCAATTATTTGCCAATAATTAGCATAACATAGTACATTATAACCTTT